TAGGGTTTTGGGGCTGTCACGGTCTCGTCCGCTTCCAGGGGTTTTGGGCTGTCACGGTCTCGTCCGCTTCTAGGGGTTTTGGGCTGTCACGGTCTCGTCCGCTTCTAGGGGTTTTGGGCTGTCACGGTCTCGTCCGCTTCCAGGGGTTTTGGGCTGTCACGGTCTCGTCCGCTTCCAGGGGTTTTGGGCTGTCACGGTCTCGTCCGCTTCCAGGGGTTTTGGGCTGTCACGGTCTCGTCCGCTTCTAGGGGTTTTGGGCTGTCACGGTCTCGTCCGCTTCTAGGGGTTTTGGGCTGTCACGGTCTCGTCCGCTTCCAGGGGTTTTGGGCTGTCACGGTCTCGTCCGCTTCCAGTGGTTTTGGGCTGTCACGGTCTCGTCCGCTTCCAGGGGTTTTGGGCTGTCACGGTCTCGTCCGCTTCCAGGGGTTTTGGGCTGTCACGGTCTCGTCCGCTTCTAGGGGTTTTGGGCTGTCACGGTCTCGTCCGCTTCTAGGGGTTTTGGGCTGTCACGGTCTCGTCCGCTTCTAGGGGTTTTGGGCTGTCACGGTCTCGTCCGCTTCCAGGGGTTTTGGGCTGTCACGGTCTCGTCCGCTTCCAGGGGTTTTGGGCTGTCACGGTCTCGTCCGCTTCTAGGGGTTTTGGGCTGTCACGGTCTCGTCCGCTTCTTTTGGGCTGTCACGGTCTCGTCCGCTTCTAGGGGTTTTGGGCTGTCACGGTCTCGTCCGCTTCTAGGGGTTTTGGGCTGTCACGGTCTCGTCCGCTTCTAGGGGTTTTGGGCTGTCACGGTCTCGTCCGCTTCTAGGGGTTTTGGGCTGTCACGGTCTCGTCCGCTTCTAGGGGTTTTGGGCTGTCACGGTCTCGTCCGCTTCTAGGGGTTTTGGGCTGTCACGGTCTCGTCCGCTTCTAGGGGTTTTGGGCTGTCACGGTCTCGTCCGCTTCCAGGGGTTTTGGGCTGTCACACTCTCGTCCACTTCCAGGGGTTTTGGGCTGTCACGGTCTCGTCCGCTTCCAGGGGTTTTGGGCTGTCACGGTCTCGTCCGCTTCCAGGGGTTTTGGGCTGTCACGGTCTCGTCCGCTTCTAGGGGTTTTGGGCTGTCACGGTCTCGTCCGCTTCTAGGGGTTTTGGGCTGTCACGGTCTCGTCCGCTTCCAGGGGTTTTGGGCTGTCACGGTCTCGTCCGCTTCCAGGGGTTTTGGGCTGTCACGGTCTCGTCCGCTTCTAGGGGTTTCGTGGGGGTTTTGGGCTGTCACGGTCTCGTCCGCTTCTACTGGGTCTCGTCCGCTTCTAGGGGTTTTGGGCTGTCACGGTCTCGTCCGCTTCTAGGGGTTTTGGGCTGTCACGGTCTCGTCCGCTTCCAGGGGTTTTGGGCTGTCACGGTCTCGTCCGCTTCCAGGGGTTTTGGGCTGTCACGGTCTCGTCCGCTTCCAGGGGTTTTGGGCTGTCACGGTCTCGTCCGCTTCCAGGGGTTTTGGGCTGTCACGGTCTCGTCCGCTTCTAGGGGTTTTGGGCTGTCACGGTCTCGTCCGCTTCCAGGGGTTTTGGGCTGTCACGGTCTCGTCCGCTTCCAGGGGTTTTGGGCTGTCACGGTCTCGTCCGCTTCCAGGGGTTTTGGGCTGTCACGGTCTGTCACGGTCTCGTCCGCTTCTAGGGGTTTTGGGCTGTCACGGTCTCGTCCGCTTCCAGGGGTTTTGGGCTGTCACGTTAGAACCGAACTCCCGTCCCCCGTCCCGTCCCGTGCCGTCCCGTCCCGTCCCGTCCCGTCCCGGCGAAAACCAGCTGCCGGACATCGAACGGCAACCGGCGAACATCCATAAGTCACATCTTGTCTTTCGTTGTCATGAGGAGGGAGAGAATGCTCTGAAGGCGACGCGGAAGCTCTTGCGCTTTTTCTTCTTTATAATGCGATCATTAAATTTTCTGCAGCTTTTGCGCAAGTTTGGCAGCTGACACAACTTCGAAAGGTGTTGACTTTTTCATTGTTCGCCGGTAATTTCCGGTTCTGCTTTGGTAGGTGAGCAATTCCTCTGAGTGGATGCGGTTGTGGTGTATTGCGTGAAACACCGTTAAACGTTATTACTCCCCCAACCCCCACACCCACCGCCGAGGTGGTCACAAACGTTGGTGTGTTGCGTGAAACAACATGTTTATCAACCCCCCTACCCGTCCCCCCCCCCCCCCCCCCCCCCCCCCCAAACCCCTCTCCCCCCGCCGCCAAGGTGGTCGCAGATACGGTTTACGTTGGCCCCATGACCCTCCAACCTGCCTCCGGCACGTCCCCCCCCTCCGGCGCGCACCCCCACACCCACCCCAACGCTTAATCCTCCCCCGCACACCCCCTGTCCGCCCCCACCACCTCCTGCCCATATGAGGATGTCATCATTCAACCCCCCCCCCTCCCCAAGTGACCAGAAATGACGTGGCAGGGAGCTGTCACTGATGGTACACACTTCCCAAGCTGCTGCCTGCCTCGTGAGCAAACCGTGCTAATCACACGAGGATTTACGTTGCCCTGTGACCAGGCGCAAGACGGGGCCACTCCGCTCCTCATCGCCGCGCAGAATGGGAACCTCGCTACCGTGAAGTCGCGTGGCTTGAGGTTAGGGTTCACTCTTCACCAGGTCTGGAGTCTAGAGCTGACGGGCATGGATCTGCCTATCTTCAAGATCCGCTGTAGTTTTTGGCCAACAGCAACATTCGATCCTTCAGCTGCTTCATGGACTGTGTGTTGTGCTTGGTTTTGTGGCGGGCGGTGGAAACATCCGCTGCGCAAATCAGATTGTGGTTGAGGCTTCATGCCGCCAGGCAGCCTTGTAACATCTTGTAACCTCCAGTTTCTTCTCAGGGGTTTCTCTGCGACAAGACTTCGCATTCTTCCGAGTAACCCCAAACAGGGGTCGCAGAACGGTCCCGGAAAAGCTTCGCTAAAAATGGACTTTCATACTAAAGTAGGAGCAACGTTAAGCTGTATTTTGCTCTTTTGTTGCTCGCAACATGCTTACATCATGTCCACAAGACCTGGTACGCCAGAGACTCTTCCGTTTTTCTGTCCCGCATGGCTCGCCGGTGGCAGGTTCTTGCTGTCCTTGAAAGTGGTGGAGAAGGACCATATATGCCTTAGGGGTTCAGGCCGTTCAGGCGCCTGCGTGGCCAGCGAAGCCACGGGGTGCTGCACACTTTGCTAGACAGTAGCAGAGCTGAGGGGACGATTCTGATTTGCTCCCACTGAGCGCAGCATCTTTAAATTTCCTGGCGATGAGTTGTGCCTTCTAACAGGGTTGCTGCAGGATCGCTGCATGAACAGCGGGGCCAGCCCCCTCTTCGTCTCTGCGCAGAGCTGCGGCAACCAATAGCATGTCTGCAGGTCTGTGAGTTTCACTCTCGAGGATAAGCCTTGCTTTTTGGGGCTGCGATGAATTGTAGGAAGAGGATTGGAAATTATGCTACCAGTGTCGAGGAACGACCACCTGACGGTGGTGAAGACCCTGATAGAGTTCCGCAGCGATGTGAAGAAATGCCTCAGGACCCTTCGCTGTGCTGTGTTATATAGGCAGTCTGCGTTTTGGGTTAGGAGGTGGCGGCGTGCTCCTGAGCTTTAAGGCTATGGGCTTAGGGGGGCATGTACTGTACAAACACAGGTGGGAAGCGATTCGTGGTCTTGAAACACCCTTTCCTAAAGTCCTAATTTTTCCGTCATATTCTCCCCATGAACTTTGTGTAAACGGTGCTGCTGGTAAGGCCGAGTTTCTACACACGCCCCGAAGACCCCAAGTTGCTGTAGGAGCGGCGTGAGCCCTGTGTACATCGCCGCACAGAATGGAAACCTGGACGCGCCTTGTACTCTGATATACGCTGATTGTACTGCTTCGGACACTTACACTGTAATGATATTGCGTTTGGGATGCATGATATCTGAAGAGCTTCAGGGCTTTCTGGTTTGCTCAAGAATCTGCGTGTTGATTGTCAAATATGCGCATCCCGCTGCAACATCAAGAGTGCCACGAACGAAGTGTGGGTGCAGAGCAAGCAGTGCTGAGTGCTGAGCGCAAAGCCCCAGTTTGGTCATGGAACCGTGCCCAATGCACTTGCTTGCAGGTGCTGAAGTACTTGCTGCAGGACCTCGGAGATGAGCACCGGGATCTCCTGGATAAGCCAGCTGTCGGAGATGCCACGCCGCTTTTCATCGCATCGCAGAACGGCCACCGTGGCGTTGTCGCGCTGCTGCTGCAAATGCGAGCCCAGTACAAACCCACGGAGGATCTCTCCAGCCCACTCCTAGTAGCTGCACAGAACGGCCACCTGCAGGTGGTCGAGATTTTGTGGGAGATGCTGAAGGAAGACGCTGGCCTGAACATGTCAAAGCGTGGCGGCGCCACCCCGCTGTACATCGCTTGCCAAAATGGCCATCTGGATGTGGTAAAGAAGCTGATCGACCTAGAAGCGGAGGTCAACAAATGCCTCGACACTCACGAGACCCCTCTTTTCATTGCTTGCCAAGGGGGATACTTAGACGTCGTCACGGTCTTGATGGAGAAAAAGGCGGATGTAGATAAGGCCAAGCAAGATGGTGCTTCACCGCTCTACATCGCGTGTCAAAATGGCCACGTGGAGGTCGTGCGGTACTTGCTCGTCGTTTCGACTCGTAAGCCAGACAAGAACCAAGCCAACACCAACCAGGAACCTTGGCCGAAAAAGCGCACTCGTCTTTCCTTGTGCATAGCATCTGCGAGCATAAGCCCTTCAAGCTTGATCTCTGCATTCAGAAGCAGTGTGACCAAGGCCACTCCGCTCTTCATTGCGTCCCAGAAGGGCCACCAGATCATCGTGGAGCTCCTCCTGCACGACCCGGCCGCGGAAGTTGACAAAGCGCTGAAGAGCGGCGCAACGCCCTTCTACATCGCCGCCCTGAAAGGCCGGTCGTGGTCTAGGTTTTAGGGTGTGTGTTTCCGGACCTGGAGACGTTTCAGTCTCTTGCGCCGTTGAACGAACAACTGGAAGGAACAGCATTCGCGAGTATTCTGACCCTGCAAATCCTTGATAGCTTGTCTCAGCTCACGACATCTGCTGCTTATTTTGAGGGGAACCATCCTTCAAACTGTTTCCTGCTGCGTGCAGTTCAGAAACGGCACACCAATGTTCCTCGTCTGGGTGTCATCACCCTACAGCCTGCGAAACCCGGAGATTGTCTTGGGAACTCTATAGCTACACGTAGGCGCATGTCAGTGTGATTCAAGATGGACAAGTAGCACTTGAGGAGGCAGTCGGACATGAATCGGCTCCAAAGAATGCGCTCAGTCACCAGGTTTCTGCCTGCTGCTTGCGCACCGTCATTGCGAATTTGCTGTAGCTTGCTATGTTTCAATCGCTTCCCGTTGTTGTATTTTGACCATAAAAGGCCGGTGACACGTGAGATCCTTCTGTTGTCGGCAAATCGGCCAATGGAAAGCTCCCTCCCCATGAGATAAACCAACGGGGTCACGAATCGACATCACTCCCATTTCCACTCCATATCTGCGAAGGAAATCATCCTGCGAAGAATAGGTTCACATGCCATTCACCTGAAGAATTCAGCTATCCTCAAGGGGTGCCGTGCCTTGGTTGTAGGGTTTGGGAGTTGCGGTGTAGGGTTTAGGGTTTCTTGTGTCGGGTTTAGGGTTTGACCTTTGAAGTCGCGGCTTCTATGCTGATCGACTGGGTTTCGTCGCTGAACATGGCCGTGCTGAGAGTTGCCCAGTCTGAAAAAGCCTGAGACACAGGCCATCCGGGCGTCCTCCAGCGACTTCGAGAAGCTGGAGCTGCACTGAACTCGACACCCAAGCATGGCGCCACGCCCGTCTCGGCCGCCGTGCAGAACGGCCACCTGGAGGTGCAGGGCTCCGCGTTGTTGCATGTCGCCAAGGGCAAGTGGCGCCGAGCCACGGCAAGTGAAAAAAGAAATCGTGGCCCCAAGCCCGGACCGCAACCGTCCCCAAGGTGCTTCAGCTTCTCATCGAGATGAGGGCCGATCTTGGCAAGCCTAACGCTGACGGCATGAGCCCCTTGCATCTTGGCGGCGCCTGAAGCCTCAAAACGACAGCACTCTGAGATTCATTGCTAGTGTTCAGCGGAGCGGAGAAGGTTTCAGAAAACAGCAGGAGACGAACTCATGTAAACAAAAAGATATGCACTTTCTGCTGCTGGTGCTGCTGCTGGTGCTGCTATGTGCTGCTGCTGGTGCCGCTGCTGGTGCTGCTGGTGGTGCTGGTGGTGGCGGCGGTGGCGGTGGCGGTGGTGGTGGCGGTGGCGGTGGCGGCGGTGGTTGTCATGCGGGTGACGGTCGCGTGGGGTGGGGCGTGTTGGCATGACGTAAGTTGCAGCTCTTAAAAGTGAGTCACTTTTTTCTGGCTGGCGGAGAGGGCACTCAAAAGATGTACAGGTTTGCCCGTGCCTCCATGCATTTTGTGAGCAGCATCTTCAGAATTGCAGCGGCAATTGATGTCAGCTGGCTCGAGTTTTCGAGAAGCATGCTTGAAACAAACGGATGTTTCTAGAAGGAGTGGAATGAGTGGAACAAGATATTTACTTAATTATCATCCAAAAACCTTCCCCTCCATAGAGAGCTTCTCGCCTCGATGCCCAGCACTAGTTCTGCCAGAAGGCTTGGGGGCAGGGTAACCCAGCTAGCCTGCTGGGGTTTATGCTGGGTTCTTTCTCGGCCGGCTGCCCCTGCTTTCACAGTTCTTCCAAGAAGGGCAGCTGGAGCTTTAGGCATGCGAAACCAGGATGGCAGTACCTCCTCCTAGGGTTCCCACCAGAGCTTCCCGTTGAACTTCTTGATTTTGCCGCATCCAACATTTTCGTAGCAGTTGCATGTTCCGTAGGAATTTTGGAGGAGACTCCTGTTCCACTGGCTTTTTCATGTCTATTGTTTGTTTAGTAGTACGTTGGTTTGATGATGTTGGTTTGATGATTTCGTTTCTGCTGCTTCCTGAACTCAGCTTCTGATTTCTTGCCGCTTTCACAGTTGTGTTGCAATTGTGTTGCTGCTTTTGTTCGATCTTACTTCCTGCTGTTTTTGTAATCCCCTCTGTTTCTTTCAATGGTGTTTACTGATTGCCTGCGTAGTCCTTAGCCCTGACTCGTATAGCAACACAAAGAGCTCGGCGTAGGTTTTGCGGAACAAAGCCGAAGCAATCCGAAGTTAGTTGGGAGCGAAGATGCCCAGAAACGCGGCGCATTGGATGACGTTGGGTCGCTCGAGAACTGAGCCTGGTAAGCCTGGTAGTGGTCCGGTCAACTACCGAGGCACTACGCGGCCCAAGGCGGAAAGGTAGACATGGCGCGGCTCCTCGTAAAGGCCTGGCTGCTTGTCGGGTGTAGGGTTAGCTTTTTTAGAGTCTGAGGTTGGTCTTCCTGGTTCAGGCGTTCGTGCATGTTGCACCTCTTCATCTCTGAGATCCCCCTTTTGGTGGAACTTGAAGTTCCAACACAGCACAAAGCCTAAAAAGCCTAAACACTACAACTCCGAAACCTCTGTGCTCTGTGTCGAGGAACGTGCAGATCCCTTGGTCCGGCCCTCTCGCTGCACAGGAAGTTGCAGGAACTTCCTCGAGAAAAAATGGGGGGGGGGGGGGGGGGGGGGGGGGGGTTTGGGTTTAGGGCTGTTGTGGACGGGGGGAGTACAAAGGATTCGGGGGTGCTTTTCCAGCTTGACTCTGATATTACTAATTCCGACACAGCCGAGGTCAAACAACGGCAAAACTCCTTTGGACCTGGCTCGTACAGCGGCTAAGCCAGAGGCCCTTCGGCCGAATCGATTGGGCGTTGGAGTCTTGTTATGTCTTGTTCATGGGAGTTAGGAAGAGCCAGCCACGGCTCTTGCTTCAGTCCCTGCTCCACCTTGTCAGTTTGGAACCCTTATGGCCGGGTTCGCGAGTTTTCGTGCAGCCTAGGGTCTTGAGCTTAGCCGTTTCGCCGTTCATCACACCCTCGCTTTCTTAACGACGCGACTATTGCCTACACCATGTCCAACGACTTGAAGCTTAGCTTAGGGTTCAGGGTTTCAGGGTTCATGCTCCGCAGGCCAATGGTCCGCAGGCCATTTGTGTGCCCTAAGAGCCGAAATGGCCTGGAAATGGGCCGAAACTTTGGGCCCTGAGCACCTCCTTGACATCAACGAGCTTTCCCAAGAAACAAGGCGTTGCTCCTTGAGTGCAGGCCCGTTTCGCAGGTCAGGCATCGAGTCCGAGTGGAAGCCAATCGAATGAGCTGTGTGGATTCTCGGCAACTGAAACCCATTGCCAAGTTTCAGCATCCGTTTTCATCATCCGGCTGCCCGAGGCCACCGCCGACGAAGCGCCTTGGTGGCACAAACCCCAAGGTGCAGACTCCACCCTGGAGCTCCCCTTTTGTGAGCTCCCTGGATCTTGCACTTTGTTCGTGTGTTCTAAACATGCCCTGCTTCCCCCAAGTGCCTCGTAAACGACTGTGCCCGGCAGCACAGATAGTCTGACCAAGAGAAGATCGCAAAGTTGGGCACTATGCGCGGGCATGGATGGCCTAGGGTGTGATTAGTGCAACCAGTGGTGTCCTCGAGGTGTCTCCAAGAGCGCAGGCTGCCAACCTGCATGCCATGCAGCAGGCAGAGCTTATGTGCGTTCAGCTTTGGAATCAGGTTTCGGGTTGAGACGAGTGGGCTCTCTACAAGCCTTCAAGCTTTGTCACGCACACGACAATTCTCCAGGTCCTGGGTGGGGCTGGGTGAGCAATGAGACTTTTTTGCCGCCGAGGCCCGGGACAGCAGTTTCGGAGTTTAGGGTTTGCACGGCCTAGTCGGTTTTTTGTTGGACTCCTTCCAAGGTTCCTTTGAGAATGCAACGTGTTGCAAAGTCCATCAAAGTCCTTGATCCCTACAGGTTCAGTTGATTTGACCAGCTTTTGCGGGTGTCGCGTTCTCATGCTCCATACGCGCACGGTATTTGAGGCAGCATGACCTGAGTGCAGGGCTCACCCGCAAGTTGAGCTGCGAGGGCACCCCCCACCCAACCTGACAAATTGAGTGACTAGCAGATATTGAGGGCTCACAAGAGATGTCTCGTGGGGGGGTTTCCGGCGAAATCCCCAAAGAACGAGAGTTGATAGTTTGTCAGCCTTCGAGAGCACTCTGAGAGCACTTTGAGTCTGAGAGCACTTCAACAGAGGGGTAAAAAACTTCTGCAAAAGAGCTGAGAGCTGAGTTGTGCTGAGGACCAAACACTCACGAGTGTCACACTGGGGCCTCCCGAGTGCCCTTGCACAGACTGGTTGGACAGTGAGAGGGCTCCCGGAAGGCGCTTGAGAAGTCCAGAACCCAAATCGCAAAGACTAGGGGGACAACATGTTTCAGCGGCGGGGCTTGAGTTTCTGGCAGGAGAGGAGAAATAAAAGCATCCTTCCCCGTATAGAGTCTCATTAGTAGCACCGGACGGACCCAGATTTGTTGGGGCTCAAGTCGCACGACGTGCGGCGGGCTCTAGGAGCGTACTCGACATGTATCTTAACTCCTTGAGATCCGAATGATAAGTACGGGTGCGCTACGATGTGCTACGCCTATGCTGCAGCAGCTGCAACAGTACTCCCCCCAACCCTAGATCCTTAACGTGTTAAGAGAGCGGCCTTCTGTGGAACAGGAAGTTCTTTGTCTGGCCAAGGCCTGTTTCTTTGTACCTGTATAGCGTGATGCACTCCAAGAGTTGATTCCTTCGCCGCCTCTTTTACAGTCTGAGACGCGGTGCCCGGCAGTCCAGTCAGCAGCAAAGAAGGGCCGAGCGAGAGGCTTCGTTGCCTGTCTTCCAAGTTGACACAGTGACTTTAGCTAGGTTGCCACCATTTAGACTGCTCATTTTCTGCGATAGGTGTTGAAAACTGCTGCGGAAGATGGAGGCGTTTTTTCTGACCCGCGCCTCCCACAAAACATCTGCTGGGGCCCTTTCAATCAGCCGCGACTTCCCAGGAACCTGGCAGTCGCAAGTTGCCTCGTGCCAGGGCCCGGAGGAATGGCAGATGCCAGAAGTGCGGTCTGTGCTATGCTGCTATATGAAGAATTCCCAAACCTCAAGATTCCTCGGGTGTCCTGGGCAGTCCAACAGTTTTGCCTGCCCCTTCTTCGCGGAGCCTGATCTTGTGGAGGCCAAGAGCATCCACAGATCTGTGTGCAGAACCGCGTGAGGTAGGGCCTCTAGTATTCTGATTGGTGAGTATGTACAGCCCTCGATACATCGGGTAGCCTTTCGGGGGGGCATGTGAGGAGTAAACACCCTCCCCAGCACTGATGTGCAGATCTGGTGCACAAAAGATCTCCAAAAAACGGTCCATGTGGACTAGTCGAGATCGCTTGTCAACACCCTTAACCAAACTAAAAAACAGCTTTTATGGTGGAGTGCGAGTTGCCCTGGAGGCTCCGCCATCACAGTGCGGAAAAAGCAGGAGCGTATTGCCGGGTGGGACGGCTTGACGGGTTCAACTCAGACTTGCCGCGACCGGCGTGTTGGTACTCCGCTGAGACGCATCTCAAATCTTGAACTTCGTCGTCGCAAGACAACAGATCCCGCTCCGCCAGCGCTCCGCGAACAAGAGATGTGTGTTGGTTCTTGTCCCTTCGCAGACTGAGATGCGGGCCCAGCAGTCCAATCGACAAATACCTGCAGAAAGCATGGCCGAGCCACAGCAGATTGAGGTCTTCAAACAATCTTCCAAGTTGATGTGCCCTGCCGCGATTTGTGTTCCAAACTGCTGTGCAAGACCGAGGTGTCTGCTCAATTTTGATGCGATCTGCGGCAACTGCAAATTCTCTTTGCCAATGTTAAATATCAGGTATTTCCCAAAATAGGGCCCTTTTTGGACCCCAAAACTCTAGACTCCAGGAACTCCCAAACAGGGTACAACAGGGTACCCCGGATTTTCGGTTGTTTTGGATGTTCGCAGAGAATCTTCCGTTGGATCCCTGCAAGTGTATGGCCTGTGGTCCAATACGTATGGAAGCACTATACCGGCAAAATCCTCAATGGCCCTGTCTGGTGACATGATTGTAATTGTAGAGAGTG